AAAAAAAAAAAAAAAAAAAAAACACATCTTAGTAAAACCAATACCTTCTCAGCTTCGCATCGAAGCTAAAAGAAAACGATACCCGGTCTCCGAAGACACCCATCCGATGGTCTGGATGCTTCGCCGAAAAGATCTGGCCGTTCGCCGTTGGCGGCTCTACTCCATCATTGAATAATATGTCAATAAAACAACATATGTGTGCACCCTAGCACGGTCAATGACAGAAGAAAGAATAGAGAAGAGTCAACATCGATCTAACGGCGATTTCAAATCGATAACGGCCAGTCTTTTTGGAAGGGATCAATACTGATAAACAATTCGATTTTAATTATATTTCTCTTTTATCGCCTTATCTAGCGGTCAGAGGCAAAATAATGAGTGGTTGACACCGCTGTGTCAGAAAAAGGTTCTTTCGCGCGATAAAATAAATAAGTAGACATAACAAAAAATCATAAACGGTCCACCTTCGAATTTGTGACATTACAAACTTAGACCTGAGAAACTGAGCGGCAGTCAGAAGCGCAAGCTGAAGAGGAGCCGAGCAAACATGGAGGGGCAGAAGAACCTACCAAAGGAGGGAGACAAGGGAACCGATGACTTGAAAAAGTCAAAGGGAACCGAAGCTCAAAAACCTGAGGACAAGGGTCAAGAACCTCCATGTAAGAAAACTCATTGGGTACCGACCTACAGGGACGTGGTAACCGATGATAAAAAAGTGGCTCTGGTCCTCGCAGGCTACCCCACTAACAAGTTGACCACAGAGCAGGGGCTACTCATTGAGACTTGTGTTGGAGACTTGATACTGTCGGATACTGATGGAACCGACGTACCAAGGTTTGATGACACCAGACTCACTGATGGAGCACTTGTGATCAGTGCAGCCCAAGAGAGCTCTCTTAAGTGGCTCACTGACCATTTCAACCTGATAAAACTTTGGGACGGTGCAGAACTCCATTTGGAAGCCTATAACCCGATCAAGTATAAACGGATGGTCACTCATATACCAGGGCTGCCAAAAGAGTCCAAGAAGATCTTGGAAATTTTGGCAAAGCAAAACCCAGGGCTGAACACGGCGATCTGGAAAGTCCACCATGAGACAGAGGTTGGCCCGAAAGGACAAACTTTGTTCCTAAGTGTGGACGAAAACAGCATGGTCAAACTGGAGGAACTTAAGCGCAGTCCATATTTTGGAATGGGCAGAGTTTGCTTCACAGATTATGTTGCCAAGCAGCCACCAGCCCAAAAGGATGTGAAAAAATTCACACCTCAAAAATCTGGGAAGAGGAAGGCTGAGGAATCACCAGTGCTACTCGGGAAAGGAGGTAAGGCACAGGTAAGGAACAAACGGACACACTTTACTCCTGTCTCGAAAGGGAAGGGAGGAAGTGTGTTACGTAAGGGAAAGGGACCCAGGAAACCGCCACCCTCAATAACGGCCACAGCTGAGGGGAACCTCTCCACGGATCCAAAAGGAAATGTGGAGAGCGAACCTAAGGCACGATCGCCACCTGGTGTTGGCGGGGGGACACCACCCACAGGGGGGGCTGTGTAACACAGGGACTGTTTCAGACACCTGTATCACACCCAGTACAGCGTGCTTTCTTAAGCGTCAACATCAGTTTTTCTGAATGGCTGACAATAGAATTCAATTCACGCAAATAAACCTGCATCACAGTAAAGGGGCCAGTAGTGTATTACTAAGGACCCTAACTGAGAGGCATACAACACCCTTACAAATAGCACTTATTCAGGAACCATGGATAAATGGGGACCAGATTAAGGGGCTAAATCTAAGGGATTTTAAACTGTTTCATAAACAAGCAGATAAACCAAGAACTTGCATTTTGGTTAATAATAAAGTTAAAGCCAGCCTGATACTTAATCTATCAAGTGCAGACTTGACTATTATTAGAGTAACACTAAATGATGGTAAAAATATCATAGTANAAGTAACACTAAATGATGGTAAAAACATTATAGTAGCTTCAAGATACTTACCATATGAGGTCACAGACCCAGGTAGGGACCTAACTAAGCTCTTTAATTATTGCAAAAATGAAAAATTAGAACTAATCCTAGGTATGGATGCTAATGCACACCACACTATTTGGGGGAGCAGTAACATCAACCAAAGAGGAGAGGTTATAATGGATCTATTGCTGATTACAGACGTAAGTATACTGAACAGAGGTAGTGAACCTACATTGGTTATCAGGAACAGGCAGGAAGTCATTGATCTGACAGTTTGTTCAAAAGGGTTACTTCAAAAGATAAAAGGGTGGAAAGTGTCCTCCGAACCTTCTCTTTCTGATCATAGGCACTTACGATTCACTTTGGAAATTAACAAAGTTGAGACGGAGTACTATAGGAACCCAAAAAAAACAAACTGGGACAAATACAGGGCAGATCTCTCTCGTGACCTGATTAACCTACAGTTTAGATTGGGGTCGAGACAGAGTACTGAAAGGGCTGTAAATATGCTACAGGACTCCATTGTCTCAGCTTACAAAGAAAACTGTCCTTTAATAGAAAGGAAAGGTACAGGGCAGGGTGTAGCTTGGTGGAATGCTAACCTGTCTAAATTAAGAAAGAGTTCACGTAAGCTCTTAAATAAAGCAATGAAATCAGGTTTGGAACAACACTGGGAATCCTATAAGGACGCCCAAAGGAACTACAAATCTGCATTGAAAAAGTCCAAAAGAGAAAGCTGGAAGAAGTTTTGTGGAGATATACAACAACTCCTTATATCAACAAGACTTCTGCGATCAATGAGGAATGGACCAAACAAAACTGTCGAGGCAATACTACTGCCTGACGGAATGTTCACCAATAATGATAATGAAACATTATCACATTTGATGAACACACATTTTCCTGACTTTGGAATTAACAAAAGAGAACAGTCACATGATGTACAGGACAAACGTGTGACCTGCATTGATTGGAAACTAACCAGGAAAGTGATAACCCCAAATGGAATAAGATGGGCAATAAAAGCCTTTGGCAGTTTTAAAGCTTCAGGCTGTGACGAAATTTTCCCTGCACTTCTGCAAGAAGGGTTAGAGATAATCGTCCCCTATCTCTGCAAAATATTTAGGGCATGCCTTGCCTATGGTTATCAACCACAAAGCTGGCGTAAGGTTAGGGTAGTGTTTATACCCAAACCTAACCGCACTAACTATTATGAAGCAAAATCCTACAGACCAATAAGTCTTACTTCTTTTCTTCTTAAGACTATGGAGAAACTTATTGATAGGTNTTACTTCTTTTCTTCTTAAGACTATGGAGAAACGTATTGGTAGGTACATCAAGGAGGGGCCTCTTAAGGAGAACCCTTTACATGAAAACCACCAACATGCGCATCAAATGGGGAAATCTTATGATACAGCTCTACACTGCTTAACTACTAAGATAGGGAAAGCTGTAGAGAATAAAATGTATGCAGTAGGTATATTCCTGGACATCGAAGGGGCTTTTGACAATACTCCCTTCGATGCTATGTGTGAATCTGCACAACAGCATGGAATAGAACCACTTATTATTAAGTGGATAGAATCCATGCTTAAGGAACGCTCCATTTTGGGACAGCTCAATGAGACCAAAGTAATCAAGAGTGTCAAACAGNTAATGAGTAATGAGTAATCAAGAGTGTTAAACAAAGAACTTAATCGCATACAGAGAATGGCTGCTATTGCCATTACTGGAGCATTAAGAACTACACCAACGGTTGCATTAGAGGCACTAATTGGATTGCCTCCTCTGCATCTAGAGGTGAAAGCTCACGCGAAAGCTACAGCACTAAGATTCCACAACTTAGGTATGTGGACTTTGGAGAGTGATACAACAGAACATGGTAAAATACTAAAAGAGATAGACAAGGGCTTTTTAGAATACCCCTTGGACTATATCAAACCGGTTCTTAAGAATAACATTCCCTACAAAGTGGAGATCACTACACGTATAGAATGGAATATTAANTACACGTAGAGAATGGAATATTAACCACCTGACTGACAAAGGAGGATTTGTGATATATGCAGATGGATCCAAAAAATCAGGAAAGGTAGGTGCTGGAATTTGGGGCTTAAAGCCACGAATAAATGTCAGTATGTCATTGGGCACAACACCCTCTGTTTTCCAAGCAGAGGTGATGGCGATACTGGTAGGGGCTCAGAACCTGCTGGTATACAAAAATAGGAAGATAACTATCTTAAGTGATAGTCAAGCGGCTTTGAAAGCACTCTGTAACGATCAGGTGAATTCAAAGCTGGTCCTCGAATGCAGGGAAACTTNAAAAACTGGTCCTCGAATGCAGGGAAACTTTAGAATCACTATCGAAGTTCAACGAAGTTACACTAGCGTGGGTGCCGGGACACAACGGTGTCACTGAAAATGAGAATGCTGACTTTCTAGACAGGAAAGGAACAGAGAACACCTATGTTGGACCAGAACCAGTGGTAGGGCTCACTGAGCAATCGCTCAAAGCGTTACCCAAGAATTGGTGCAGAGAACAACACAGGAAAATCTGGAAGTACTTGGTAGTACCTAGACAATCTAAAATGTTTATCAAGACCCCTGATTTATTGCTGGGTGATCTTAATAGCATGACTAGACATCAAATAAGCACCCTGACTGGTCTACTGACAGGACATGGTCNCCTGACAGGACATGGTCACCTGCTAAGCATCTTAACGCAATGGGGGTATCGGAATCACCATTGTGCAGGAAGTATGGTGTAGAAGAGGAAGACTCATTTCACATCATGTGCGAATGTGAAGCCTTGTCCACACTAAGATCAAAATACTTGAATAAACCTTTTTAGAGGTGACTTATGGTTGGTAATGTATTAACACTTTGGTGATAACACTTAGGTGGGTAAAACGAATCAAGACAATTCGGTATGAGGTGCGCACAATGGACCAACAGGTCTGAGTGCATGGGCATTATGTCCACCTCAATAATAACTAAAACTAAANCTGGGTGATCTTAATAGCATGACTAGACATCAAATAAGCACCCTGACAGGACATGGTCACCTGCTAAGCATCTTAACGCAATGGGGGTATCGGAATCACCATTGTGCAGGAAGTATGGTGTAGAAAGGGAAGACTCATTTCACCGAGGAAAAACCGAAGGAAAACTAGGTTTTAATAATTAAAAATTATAATTTTTTTTTTTTTTAAATAATTATACATATATATAATAATTCTATAAAAAAACCACCACTGACAACTACTAGATTGGTAAAGGTGATCAATCACTCAACCACATATTGTACACAACATATATCACATTCGATTTTAAACTGAGTGCTTTGTTATTTAGAGGTATAAAACCTCTAACAAGAAAATAATAAAACGCAATGTATCAGTAAAAATAGTTTAGTAATTTTATAAAAAAATGTATACTGTACATATAATACATAAAATATACGTGTGTGTGTAATACATAATTAAGTATTATTTTTAAACCAATTTCTAAGTTGAAATATTTTATAAAATGTACAATGTTTTGGATTTGAGTTCATATGGTACATACAACTAGGTGAATTTTCACATGGTTCTAACTGATCTATACGCGGCATACCCAAACTCTCCAAATTAAAGATGTTCATGGTTGGTATAAACTCTGAAAGTATTCGTTGTTTCTGTAATCCTTTTACATAAATGTATTCAAATGGTAGTGAGTATTAAATTTCCTGAATTAGAAAACTTTCAGTATGTCCAACATTTTCTGTCATGGAGTGTCTATTTCGCGATAACCATTTATTCACATAAGTTACTTCATAACTTTCAAGTTTTGAGTTATTCTACTTATCCGTTATAGTTTGTATAATTGAAAGCCAATCGTATGACCCTCTCATATCATATTTATTATTTATACTCACTAAATTTTCAAGTGGTGTTATTACTGGTACTAAATTTGTCTTATATATTATTGTGTTAAAATAATTTTGTTTTAATTTCATATATTTTCGTTTAATGTTTTCGCGGTCTTGTATTAACTCAGTAAGTAATCCATAACTATTCTTTGCCATGTTTAATGAATAAATGGATGCTGATTCGATGTTGACGGTGTTAAACTGTAAAACTTATATCAAGTGATGAAGTATTTTACTCTATTTTATAGCTCATAGAGAGATTCTAACTTAATCACTCAACCAATGTAATTTTTCTTTTTTTTTTTTTCAAATTTAAGTAGGGATGAAAACACACAAAACAACCACTCATAAATGTTTTGAACTGGTTAAGACTCCCGATTCGATATGGATGATTTTTTTTTAACTTTCTAAGAAGTTTATTTATAAATAACGAACTCTAAAGAGATATTGAAAAATCTCAATAGGAGGTAAAAACCATTATCTTACAAATGTGATCACTTGTATTAACCGCTAGAAACCAGATTCCATTCGTTAAATACCATAGCTAATTTTTTTTTCGACGGGTGTAAATCATGTTTAAATAACATTGTGAAAACTATAATAATAAAACTGGGTAAAACTTATGGCTTTTAAATAAAATATACGTTTTTCACTTTAATTTTAAAATATTCGTTAACATAGAATTATTATAATAACCTATAGTATTGTCGTAAGCGGCATTTGTTAATAGTTTAATGTTTGTCCATAGTTAAGTATATTTTAATGTGTACGTTTTGTTTTTTATATTAATTATTGTAATAACAACGGGTATTCAATAATATAATAAATTATTATTATCAGGTAATAATCATTTTTACTCAAAACATCACCAAAAACCGAGTGAAATACATACGTATATAACAATTTTCAATCAATTCGTGTAAAAATCTCTAATAATAATAATAATTTTTTTAAAACACTGTTATCATATTCATGATAATTAAATTAACACAACGGTGCACAGCCAGTATATGAAACATTATACCAAGAGTAGTTGTGACGTCATGTATGTAACAATGCATACATCGTCTTCACCACCTTTGCCGCCCCCGAAAAAATTTTCTGGATGATGCTTATTGTGTTAGTAAAAACAAAAACATACTACTGTTTTACAATTGTCAAAAACCTATTCATGATATTAAAGTCTAATTTTAATTTTAATACTGTTAATTTCATTTATTGCTTATACTAATATACCATATACTAATATAATATAGTAATAGTTATTAATACAAAACAATAAAATTTATTTTAATAATATATTTACAAACTATAATATGTATTTGTTTTTTTTTTTTTCACTTTGTATAATAATAAATATAGTTAATAAATAATGTATATAATTTTGATATGAAATAAAATAAATAGGATAATTTAATTATAATTATTTTACTAGATTACACAATAGATTAATAATTAGATTTAGTATTAACAATAGATTTGGATCATAGGTACTAAAATACACGTTTTAACATTACATTTACTTTTAAGTTAGAATATTTTGATATTTAGTATAGTTTTAGTGTAACAATAAATACACTGAATTATGAACTACGTTGAATAACGTTTAATTCGATTACCACGTTTAATAAAATTTCCAAAAGCATCTTTGTAACGTTCGTATATATTAGCATTACATTCTATTATACGATCATGTAAAATATTAGTAGTTTCCATAACATTACTTTGGAAATTATTTTTAAAATATTGTTTTATATTTTCAAATTTTTCAAAAGGGTTCCCAACGTCATATTTTTTGCATTTTTTACTGATAATTTGAGATTGTGTAAAAACAGTTGGCTTAAATTTGGTATTAGATACATTCTTGATATTAAGATTATCTTTATATCCTAATTGATTAAAATCATTTATTAGTTGATTAATAATATACCCAGTGGCATTTTTAAAAGGGGTGACAGGGGTCCTGTCTCTATGTCAAACAATTTTATTTAATTAAAGAAATTAAATGATTTTAAAAAAATAGGTTACCATTTGAAAATAGAAAGTTGATACGAGTTTAGGTTAACAGGAATTGTAACAAAAAGTTCATTTATCCTGTAAAACAACTTTACTAAGAACCATTAATGTTAAAAAAAGATAATTAATAATTAGTTCTAATATTTCAAAAATATTTCGTGAGGTGTAGTTAAGGAACTATTTTTAGAGTAAAAATAAAGTATAAATTATTTCATTGCTGCTTTTAAAAATAACTGTAAAGCTATTTATTACATATAATTTAAAATATCTTAAAATTGATTATAAATTAAAATATTTTTAAGTATTGTAATTCACAAGGATGTTTACTTAAGACAAATGGCAAATGTTATCACAATAAACTTTTTATAGCTGAGGACATCTATATTTATAATCCCTAAATAAAAAGCGCTCAAATAAACTTACGTGTGAATCCTGTATTTTTAGGTTGGCACTTTATGTAAGAAAAACAAAAAATGAATATAATTATATAAGACTTTATCACATCCATCTGTTTTTTTAAACAGAAAATATTAATTACAAAATTATTTCTTACATTTTATATACCAATGTGGTCATAGTTACGGCATAAAATGTGTTTAAACATCATTTCATGACATAAAAGTGTATACTTTTTTATAACAAAATATATACTTTTTTTGCATGAAAATTATTCATTTAAGTTAGAGAAACTACTTACACAATTATCTAAGCTAAATAAAAAATTTCGGTTAAACGGTTAATTTAAGAGTTAAATTACCTTCCTGAATTTGGTTTTATAAGTTTTTACTTATTAATAATTTTATTTCGTAATTTTTAATTTTAATTATTTTATGTAGAAAAATTTTATTTTAAAAAACCATAGATATCATACAGATAAGTACAGATTATGTAACTTCTCCCTATATATCATCAAAACATACCAATCAGCATTTAAATTCATTATTTGCAAATACTTCTAGACTTCTTCGTTCATCTATTTTAGTCGTAATCTCTCCAAAAGTCCTTTTTTCTTCCTAATTATTCCAGATAACTGTTACAACTATTTAAGCTCTTCATTTATTTTAATTTTCCATTCCCTGTAATTTTATCTACACACGTTCTGATGATTCTTCATAAAATTTCAATAATTTCCACATTTCACATTCATACATTACCATTGAATTAATGAAAGTGCAAAGCAGATGATGTTTATTGAAGTTCTTCGATATCATTTAGATATATTTTTAATTTTAAATAATACTATCCACAAATGATTTTCTTCTTCAATAACTTTTTTGGTCTTTAACAATTTATTTAGTCCATAGTAACGCATTTATTACTTAATTGGAGTTTCGCTTTTATTTCAGTTAGTTTATCGT